GGTATGTGAAAATTTTCACTTCTTTGGGTCACATAGAAGGAATTTTAGATGTTTTCCTGTGGGATTATTTTGTGTTTGAGGAACGTATGGTCTAGAATGATAAGTGTGTGCGAAGGTTGTTAAATCGGTGGTCATTGTCCATTTTATTGAGTCCCTGTATTTTCTGAAATATTTCAAAGGTTGCAATATCATTCATTCTCCCCTTTGGCAAAGAAAGCAGTCACAAATTCACTGTTTTTATCTTTTTAAGGTATCCGACTACGTTCGAAACCGTGATTTTGTAAAAGCGTATAATGGATAATATTTATGATATTTAGTGTCACTTAGATTAGAAAATGTATATAAAATTGTTTTAAGAATATTATTACAATAAAAAATTATTTAAGTACAATATTTTGACAAAAATTGAACATAGAATGATCCATTTTCAAAATATTCTCCTTTTGTGAAAAATGCTTCTATTATATAATATTATGTTGCCTGTATATAGCTCAGACCTCTGTACAGAGGCTGAACTAGAATTTTTGAAATATATAACTTAGAAGTGTGTTTATCCATGTTTTACGACAACAGAGGGGAGAAATTTTAAGAAAAAAAACTCCGATAATTATTTCAATGGGTTGTAACTCTGAAAATAATGTGAATTTTTCAAAAGTCATAGTTCAGACTCTCTGGAGAAGTCTTTACTTTATATAAGCAAAATATTAATATTTTAGAAGCATTTTTTATAAAAGGAGAACATTTTGAAAAAAGGTTATTCTAAGTTAATTTTTTGCCAAAATACTGTACTTAAAAAAATTTCATTTTATCAAAATGTCCTTAAAACAATTTTATGCATGTATTCTAATCTAAGTGACACTAAATATCATGAAAATTGTCCATTTATGAGCTGTTTTTTAAATCACGGTTCCGAACGTAGTCGGATACCTTAATTGTTTTTACTTTTATAATTCTTAAAACATTTTATTATTTTTAGTCTTCGAATTACGCCTGGAAGTTATTCTCTTACTAAATCCATTTTGAATGCAAATTAAAGCTATAATTTCTGAGTGAGTATTTATTAACGTCGCACACACTATAAAGAAACAAGAAGGCTATCGGGGATGGATCTAGTAATTTTGAGCCTTGGTCAAGTGACGAGGGCGACACAACACAAGAACTGGTACCCATTCTCCTAACTACCACACTCACCACATTTGGGAGATCTAACGTGCATCGGCTCCCTCTACACGGCGGGTTTTCATTGGCTTTGGGACTTGAACTCAGGACACACCCCCGTAGTTTCTGGGATGTGGAAGCAAGTACTCGACACTTAGTTAATAAAAAAAATTTTGAACTTTATTTCCCATCGATAATTTGTTGTCTTACTGAGTTAACACTCTTTTTGCTTGTGAATTCTTTTCGTAGCTTTTAAAGATATTTTATGTAAAATTAAATACAGAACATTTACGGAACGTGGCATAAATACATTTATATACGAGATAATTAAATTTTAATTTTTAAAAACTTTAGAAATCATTTTGAATTTTTGCCCTGTTTCAAAAATATTCTATATATCATCTCAAATTTATGACTTTGGTTAAAAAATCATGGATATGATTTCTTATTATTTTCTCACAGTACACTTAAAGTTTTTTTATAACGATTTTATTGCTATTTGAGCAAAATTTTGTAGTAGCTATCCCAATATAATATTGAGCATTTTTTCTGATAAACGGTTAGACAAAGCTCTCTGAAACATATTTTAAGAGTTTCGGTTTGTTGAAGAAACAATTTTCCTTTGAAGAATCGCTCTATTTGACACAGATGTGAATAAAAGGACCAGCTTTAAAGTACACGTTGTGATATCTCCACCGATGGGGATACCCTTTCTCCACTATCCACGAGACCTATGTCTGAGGGAACGAAAGATGAACCACTAAACTCAGCCATAATTAAAATCAGTTTATTATGATCTTAATTTATATACAAAACAACAACAATACTAGTCTAGGAGGAAAATGACCAAGAGTGCTGAGACGCAAAACGTATACTGATAAATAACGCAATTAACCACTAAATCTATCTTTATAGATTAATTCCTATCTTAATAGTATCCGTTAGATCCTTAAAGTTTAATTGAACAAGCTTACCGCTTTCTCCAAGGCAAACAGCTACGGTCCGTAAAACATCAATTCAACCTTTAATCTGGCTTCTCTGGCTAAGACAATACTCCTTTGGTCTCGGACCCACTTTTGCTTATCTTCAGTAGCACTGTTAGACCCACTCACTAAATTAAGACTCTTCTCCTATACTTTATCTCACTTCACTTCTAGCAATACTTCTCCACTTAGCACTCAGAGCTTCACTTAGCGATCCTCGCGAATGCTAACATTCCAGTATATATGATTCCTAATTTGCATAAACACGCTCTCTTCTTGGGTTGGTTGGAAAGAATTGCCATTCAGGCCCCAAAGAAATCCCAAGAGGATTAGTATAATTAGTTCCGATAAAGCCCTGTCACAACGTTTATGGAAAATCGATTTAAAAAGTAAGCATTTTTTCAAAAATACATTAAAAGTTAGAATCTTAAAAAGTTTCATTCAGGTTTTATTTTTAAATATTTGTGTGTGTACGAATGAATGCTTTCAACTATAAATCAAGATTTTTTATAGTGAACTTTGAAATGAATTATTTTCTTATTCACTAACAACAGTATTTACATCAATTTCAGTTAGCATAGAATTATTAATACTTTATTGCGTTACCTTTCTAAAGTTGATATCTAAAACATTGTAATTTTCGAACATTTTTCTTGAAAAAGTTTTGGGGAAAAACAGGTATAAAAAATATTTTGCGCTTTATTAGTTTTAAAGTACTTGTTTTATTGTTTTATAATCCTACCAAAAATAATCAGGGCCCTGGGCCAGAGCTCTATCCAGAACCAAGATTTACACAAAATAGCAGACTGCATAAAAATAAGTTATTTATTCTTTTTTAAAATTAAATTAAACAATAAAATAAAATTTTAAAAACATTTAATGAGAATTTCGTTTAAACTAATATAGAACTTTAAAGAATTTGTCTCAATGGGATTTATAAAATTTTATTTAAACATGCCAAAAACATTTTAAAAAAATCGAATATAATCTTTGCCAGAAAAATATAATTTTTGAATGTTGATAATTGAATAAAATTTCACTCACAGATGTATCGCCTCAATCGGTGTGTGATAAATTTATAGAATAATAGAACGCTTCAAAATCAACTTATCAGAAGATCAAAAATTAATCCTGATCGTCTATAAAATTGAAGCAATAGGTCCAATTTATTCAATACACTCATTTTTTGTTTTATATTGTCTACGTAAACTGCGAAGAAAAAAAAATTTTTTTGTAAATATTTAAATATAATTAAAAACCAAAACCTCCCATTGTCAATACATCAGCGTAAACAAATCGATGCCAATGTAATAACTCCCAAAAATATTGCCTTGAAAATAGTTCACCAAAAATTTCTAAAGAATAGTTATATAAATTGAAATTTTTGCTACTTAAAATCAACGTAAATCTAAAAGTAATAATATCAAAATATTTCAAATCATTTTGTCTTCAAAAAATTAAAATACTTCATAAATACCTGGATTCAATTTTTAAACAAAAGATATAAGCAATTAATAAAGGTGAGAAGAGGGTGAGTGAAAAAATAATAAAAATATATAATAAATTTTAAAAATAGAATACATATCACTACAAAAACATTAACGACATAGCAACAGCGAAGACGAAAAAAAAAAAAAAAAAATTCATGGTAAAAGACAAAAAGTTAAAATATGAAAAACAATTATGCTCACGAACATTAAATAGAGCAACCTGAAAATTACTCGAGTCCAGGAGCATGCGCAGTATGAAACGAAAACTAGAAATGAATCAGAAGTGAGGAAAAGGTCGGAATAAACAATACACACTTCGGATCGTATATAGTAAAGGCTTTAGATTACGCTCTTAAAATAAAACAGAATTCTCGGGAAAATGCAATGCGTTTTGTAATAGAAAAAGAATTTTCGGAAGGATTGTGTGTCGCCCTAGTATTTTCTCTTCGAAGGCTCGATGCACGTTAGAAGGAGGCAAAAAATCGAAGCTTGCGTCGGCCGGGGAGTCGAACCCGGGTCAACTGCTTGAAGGTACAGGCAACCGTTATACCACCGACGCTTCGGAAGAAACGAAACACGCGTCCTATTCAAACAAAATGCAATGCGTTTTGTAATAGAAAAAGAATTTTCGCAAGGATTTCAGTGTCGCCCCTAGTATTTTCCCCTGAAGGCTCAATGCACGTTAGAAGGAGGCAAAATCGAAGTTTTGCGTCGGCCGGGAAGTCGAACCCGGGTCAATCCGTTTGAAGGCAGCTATGCTAACTCGTTATACCACCGACGCTTCGAAGAAACGAAACACGTGCGTTCCTATTCAAAACAAAAATGCAATGCGTTTTGTAATAGAAAAAGAATTTTCGCAAGGATTGTGTGTCGCCCTAGTATTTTCCCGAAGGGGCTCGGATGCACGTTAGAAGGAGGCAAAAATCGAAGCTTGCGTCGGCCGGGAGTCGAACCCGGGTCAACTGCTTGGAAGGCAGCTATGCTAACCGTTATACCACCGACGCTTCGGAAGAAACGAAACACGCGTCCTATTCAAACAAAATGCAATGCGTTTTGTAATAGAAAAAGAATTTTCGGAAGGATTGTGTGTCGCCCTAGTATTTTCCCGAAGGGGCTCGGATGCACGTTAGAAGGAGGCAAAAATCGAAGCTTGCGTCGGCCGGGAGTCGAACCCGGGTCAACTGCTTGGAAGGCAGCTATGCTAACCGTTATACCACCGACGCTTCGGAAGAAACGAAACACGCGTCCTATTCAAACAAAATGCAATGCGTTTTGTAATAGAAAAGAATTTTCGCAAGGATTGTGTGTCGCCCTAGTATTTTCCCGAAGGGGCTCAGATGCACGTTAGAAGGAGGCAAAAATCGAAGCTTGCGTCGGCCGGTGTCGAACCCGGGTCAACTGCTTGGAAGGCAGCTATGCTAACCGTTATGTACCACCGACGCTTCGGGAAGAAACGAAACACGCGTCCTATTCAAACAAAATGCAATGCGTTTTGTAATAGAAAAAGAATTTTCGGAAGGATTGTGTGTCGCCCTAGTATTTTCCCGAAGGGGCTCGGATGCACGTTAGAAGGAGGCAAAATCGAAGCTTGCGTCGGCCGGGAGTCGAACCCGGGTCAACTGCTTGGAAGGCAGCTATGCTAACCGTTATACCACCGACGCTTCGGAAGAAACGAAAACACGCGTCCTATTCAAAACAAAATGCAATGTTTTGTAATAGAAAGAATTTCGGAAGGATTGTGTGTCGCCCTAGTATTTTCCCGAAGGGGCTCGGATGCACGTTAGAAGGAGGCAAAAATCGAAGCTTGCGTCGGCCGGGAGTCGAACCCGGGTCAACTGCTTGGAAGGCAGCTATGCTAACCGTTATACCACCGACGCTCGGAAGAAACGAAACACGCGTTCCATTCAAACAAAATGCAATGCGTTTTGTAATAAGAATTTTCGCAAGGATTGTGTCGCCCCAGTATTTTCCGAAGGCCTGGATGCACGTTAGAAGGAGGCAAAAATCGAAGCTTGCGTCGGCCGGGAGTCGAAGGTCAACTCGTTTGGAAGGCAGCTATGCTAACCGTTATACCACCGACGCTTCAAAAGAAACGAAACACGCGTCCCATATTCAAAACAAAATGCAATGCGTTTGTAAATAGAAAAGAATTTTCGGAAGCGATTGTGTGTCGCCCTAGTATTTTCCCCGAAGGCTCGGATGCACGTTAGAAGGAGGCAAAAAATCGAAGTTTGCGTCGCCGGGAGTCGAACCCGGGTCAAATTGCTTGAAGGCAGCTATGCTAACCGTTATACCACCGACGCTTCGGAAGAAACGAAACACGTCCTATTCAAAACAAAAATGCAATGCGTTTTGTAATAGAAAAAGAATTTCTGCAAGGATTGTGTGTCGCCCTAGTATTTTGCAATGCGTTTTGTGAAAAAAATTTTCGGGAAAGGTTATTGTGTCGCCCTATTTTATTTTCCCCGACGGGCCTCGGTCACGATAGAAGGAGGCAATCGAAGCTTGCGTCGGCCGGGAGTCGAACCCGGGTCAGCTGCTGAAGGCCAGCTATGCTAACAAGTTATACCTGCAGAGCGCTTCGGAAGAAACGAAAACACGCGTCCTATTCAAACAAAAATGCAATGCGTTTTGTAATAGAAAAAATTTTCGGAAGGATTGTGTGTCGCCTAGTATTTTCCGACGGGCCTCGGATCCACGATAGAAAGGCAAAAATCGAAGCTTGCGTCGACCGAGGAGTCGAACCGGGTCAGCTTTAACGGAAGGCAGCTGGCAACCGTTATACCACCGACGCTTCGGAAGAAGCAAACACGCGTTATTCAAACAAAATGCAATGCGTAATAGAAAAATTTTTCGGAAGGTTATTATTGTCGCCCTGGTATTTTCCCGACGGGCCTCGGATCCACGATAGAAGGAGGCAAAAATCGAAGCTTGCGTCGGCCGGGAGTCGAACCCGGGTCAACTGCTTGGAAGGCAGCTATGCTAACCGTTATACCACCGACGCCGGAAGAAACCCGAAGCTTACGCGTCCCTATTCAAACAAATGCAATGCGTTTTGTAATAGAAAAAAAAAAATTTTCGGAAGGATTGTGTCGCCCCAAGTATTTTTCCCGACGGGCCTCGGATCCCGTGAAGGGCAAAATCGAAGCTTGCGTCGGCCGGGAGTCGAGCGGGTCCAACTGCTTGGAAGGCAATATGCCCCAACAAGATTATACCGCTTTCGGGAAGAAAGCAAGAAACACGCGTCCCTATTCAAACAAATACAATGCGTTTTGTAATAGAAAAAATTTTCGGAAGGTTATTGTTATTGTCGCCCTAGTATTTTCCCGACGGGCCTCGGATCCACGATAGAAGGAGGCAAAAATCGAAGCTTGCGTCGGCCGGGAGTCGAACCCGGGTCAACTGCTGGAAGGCAGCTATGCTAACCGTTATACCACCGACGCTTCGGAAGAAACAGCACGCGTCTATTCCAAATAAAATGCAATACGTTTTGTAATAGAAATTTTCAGGTGCGTGTGTCGCCTAGTATTTTTCCCCAGCGGCCTCGGATCCCACGATAGGAAGGAGGCAAAAATCGAGAAGCTGCGTCGTGGGGAGATCGAACCCGGGTCAACTGCTTGGAAGGCAGCTATGCTAACCGTTATACCACCGACGCTTCCGGAAGAAACGAAAGCTACGCGTCCTATTATTCAAACAAAATGCAATACGTTTTTGTAATAGAAAAATTTTCGGAAGGATTATTGTGTCGCCCTAGTAATCATTTTTCCCGACGACGGGCCTCAGTCCACGATAAGAAGGAGGCAAAAATCGAAAACTGCGTCGGCCGAGAGGTCGAACCGGGTCAACTGCTTGGAAGGCAGCGCTATGCTAACCGTTATACCACCGACGCTTCGGAAGCGAAACACGCACGTCCCTATTCAAGCAAATGTGCAATGCGTTTGTGGCAGAAAAAAGAATTTTCGGAAGGTTATTATTATTGCTTCAGTATTTTCCCGACGGGCCTCGGATCCACGACCAGAAGGGAGGCAAAATCCCGGAAGCTTGCGTCGGCCGGTGAACCGGGTCAACTGCTTGGAAGGCAGCTATGCTAACCGTTATACCACAGCGCTTCGGAAGAAACTAAACACGCGTCCTATTCAAACAAAATGCAATGCGTTTTGTAATAGAAAAATTTTCGGAAGGATTATTGTGTCGCCCTGGTATTTTCCCGACGGGCCTCCGGATCCCACGATAGAAGGAGGCGAAATCGAAGCTTGCGTCGGCCGGAGTCGAACCCGGGGTCAGCGCTTTGCTGGAAGGCAGCTATGCTAACCGTTATACCACCCGACGCTTCGGAAGAAGCAGAAGCTGCAAATCCTATTATTCAAACAAAATGCAATGCGTTTTGCTTGTAATAGAAAAATTTTCGGAAGGATTATTGTTGTCGCCCTAGTATTTTCCCGACGGGCCTCGGATCCACGAAGGAGGCAAAACGAAGCTTGCCGTCGGCCGGGAGTCGAACCCGGGTCAGCTGCTTGGAAGGCAGCTATGCTAACCGTTATACCACCGACGCTTCGGAAGAAGCGAAAACACGCGTCCTATTCAAACAAAATGCAATGCACGTTTTGTAATGAAAAGGCCCTCGGAAAGGTTGATGTGTCGCCCCTGGTATTTTCCCCGGGCCTCGGATCCACGATAGAAGGAGGCAAAATCGAAGCTTGCGTCGGCCGGGAGGTCGAGCCGGGTCAACTGCTTGGAAGGCAGCTATGCCAACAGGTATACCACCGACGCTTCGGAAAACGAAACACGCGTCCTATTCAAAGCAAAATGCAATGCGTTTTGTAATAGAAATTTTCGGAAGGATTGTGTGTCGCCCTGGTATTTCGACGAGGCCTCGGATCCACGATAGAAGGAGGCAAAATCGAAAACTTTGCGTCGGCCGGAAGTCGAACCCGGGTCAACTGCTTGGAAGGCAGCTATGCTAACCGTTATACCACCGACGCTTCGGGCAAAACGAAACACGCGTCCTATTCCGGCAAAATGCAGTACGTTTTGTAATAGAAAAATTTTCGGAAGGTTATTGTGTCGCCCTAGTATTTTCAGCGGGCCTCGGATCCACGATAGAAGGAGGCAAAAATCGAAGCTTGCGTCGGCCGGGAGTCGAACCCGGGTCAACTGCTTGGAAGGCAGCTATGCTAACCGTTATACCACCGACGCTTCGGAAGAAACGAAACACGCGTCCTGTCCAAACAAATGCAATGCGTTTTGTAATAGAAAAATTTTCGGAAGTTATTGTGTCGCCTAGTATTTTCCGGCGGGCCTCGGTCCACGATAGAAGGAGGCAAAAAATCGAGAAGCTTGCCGCGTGAAGCCGGGAGTCGAACCCGGGTCAACTGCTTGGAAGGCAGCTATGCTAACCGTTATACCACCGACGCTTCGGAAGAAACGAAACACGCGTCCTATTCAAACAAAATGCAATGCGTTTTGTAATAGAAATTTTTCGGAAGGATTGTGTTGTCGCCTAGTATTTTCCCCGACGGGCCTCGGATCCACGATAGAAGGAGGCAAAAATCGAAGCTTTGTCGGCCGGGAGTCGAACCGGGTCAACTGCTTGGAAGGCAATATAACTGGCACCGTTACATACCACCGACTTGCCCTTCCAGGAAAGAAACGAAAACACGCGTCCTATTCAAACAAAATGCAATGCGTTTTGTAATAAATTTCGGAAGGATTATTGTGTAGCCTAGTATTTTTTCCCGACGGGCCTCGGATCCACGATAAGAAGGAGGCAAAATCGAAAACTTTTAGTCGGTAGCCGGGAGTCGAACCCGGGTCAGCTGCTGGGCAGCTATGCTAACCGTTATACCACCGACGCTTCGGAAGAAACGAAACACGCGTCCTATTCAAACAAAATGCAATGCGTTTTGTAATAGAAAAAGAATTTTCGGAAGGATTGTGTGTCGCCCTAGTATTTTCCCGACGGGCCTCGGATCCACGATAGAAGGAGGCAAAAATCGAAGCTTGCGTCGGCCGGGAGTCGAACCCGGGTCAACTGCTTGGAAGGCAGCTATGCCCCAACCGTTGCACCACCGACGCTTCGGAAGAAACAGAAAACACGCGTCCTATTCAAACAAAATGCAATGCGTTTTGTAATAGAAATTTTCGGAAGGATTGTGTGTCGCCCTAGTATTTTCCCGACGGGCCTCGGATCCACGATAGAAGGCAAATCGAAGGAAGCTTGCGTCGGCCGGGAGTCGAACCCGGGTCAACTGCTTGGAAGGCAGCTATGCTAACCGTTATACCACCGACGCTTCGGAAAAACGAAACACGCGTCCTATTCAAAACGTTAAATGCAATGCGTTTTGTAATGAAAAAATTTTCGGAAGGTTGTGTCGCCCTAGTATTTTCCCGACGGGCCTCGGATCCACGATAGAAGGAGGCAAAAATCGAAGCTTGCGTCGGCCGGGAGTCGAACCCGGGTCAACTGCTTGGAAGGCAGCTATGCTAACCGTTATACCACCGACGCTTCGGAAGAAACGAAACACGCGTCCTATTCAAACAAAATGCAATGCGTTTTGTAATAGAAAAAGAATTTTCGGAAGGATTGTGTGTCGCCCTAGTATTTTCCCGACGGGCCTCGGATCCACGATAGAAGGAGGCAAAAATGGAAGCTTGCGTCGGCCGGGAGTCGAACCCGGGTCAACTGCTTGGAAGGCAGCTATGCTAACCGTTATACCACCGACGCTTCGGAAGAAACGAAACACGCTCCTATTCAAAAAAAACAAGCGTTTTTTGTAATAGAAAAAAATTTTTCGAAGGGATTGTGTGTCGCCCTATTTTTTCCCCCGGGGGGGGCCCCGGATCCACTAGAAGGAGGCAAAAAAAGGCGGCCGGCCCGGGGGAGTCGAACCGGCAACGTTTGGGAGCATCCCCTTAACCCCCCCCCGTTTTAAAAAAATGCAATGCGTTTTGAAAAATGAAAAAAATTTTCGGAAGGTTGTTTTTCCCCTATATTTTCCCGAGGGCCTGGATCCACGTAGGGGAGGCAAAAATCGAAGTTTCGTGGGCCCGGGGAGTCAAACCCCGGGGTCAACTGCTTGAAGGCAGCTATGTAACCGTTATACCACCGACGTTCGGAAAAAACGAAACACGCCCCATTAAAAACAAAATGCAAGGGTTTTGTAAAAAAAAAATTTTGGGAAGGATTGTGTGTCGCCCTAGTATTTTCCCGAGGGCCCGGATCCACGTAGAAGGAGGCAAAATGAAGGCGTGGGCCCGGGGAGTCAAACCGGTCAACTGCTTGGAAGGCAGCTATGCTAACCGTTATACCACCGACGCTTCGGAAGAAACGAAACACGCGTCCTATTCAAAAAAAAATGCAATGCGTTTTGTAATAGAAAAAAATTTTCGGAAGGATTGTGGGGTCGCCCTAGTATTTTCCCGAAGGGGCTCGGATGCACGTTGAAGGAGGCAAAAATCGAAGCTTGCGTCGGCCGGGAGTCGAACCCGGGTCAACTGCTTGGAAGGCAGCTATGAACTCGTTATACCACCGACGCTTCGGAAGAAACGAAACACGCGTCCTATTCAAACAAAATGCAATCGTTTTGTAATAGAAAGAATTTTCGGAAGGATTGTGTGTCGCCCTAGTATTTTCCCGAAGGGGCTCGGATGCACGTTAGAAGGAGGCAAAATCGAAGCTTGCGTGGGCCCGGGGGAGTCGAACCCGGGTCAACTGCTTGAAGGCAGCTATGCTAACCGTTATACCACCGACGCCTTCGGAAGAAACGAAACACGCCTATTCAAACAAAATGCAATGCGTTTTGTAATAGAAAAAGAATTTTCGGAAGGATTGTGTGTCGCCCTAGTATTTTCCCGAAGGGGCTCGGATGCACGTTAGAAGGAGGCAAAAATCGAAGCTTGCGTCGGCCGGGAGTCGAACCCGGGTCAACTGCTTGGAAGGCAGCTATGCTAACCGTTATACCACCGACGCTTCGGAAGAAAACGAAACACGCGTCCTATTCAAACAAAATGCAATGCGTTTTGTAATAGAAAAATTTTTCGGAAGGATTGTGTCGCCCTAGTATTTTCCCGACGGGCCTCGGATCCACGATAGAAGGAGGCAAAATCGAAGCTTGCGTCACGGCCGGGGTCGAGCCGGGTCAGCTGGGGAGGCAGCTATGCTAACCGTTATACCGACGCTTCGGAAGAAACGAAAACACGCGTCCTATTCAGAGGAAAACAAAATGCAATGCGTTTTGTAATAGAAAAAAATTTTCGGAAGGTTATTGGTGTCGCCCTAGTATTTTCCCGACGGGCCTCGGATCCACGATAGAAGGAGGCAAAATCGAAGCTTGCGTCGGCGGGAACCCGGGTCAGCTGCTTGGAAGGCAGCTATGCTAACCGTTAGCACCACCGACGCTTCGGAAGAAGCGAAAACACGCGTCCTATTCAAACAAAATGCAATGCGTTTTGTAATAGAAAAAGAATTTTCGGAAGGATTGTGTGTCGCCCTAGTATTTTCCCGACGGGCCTCGGATCCACGATAGAGAGGGAGGCAAAAATCAGCGAAGCTTTGCTCCGGGGTCGAACCCGGGTCAACTGCTTGGAAGGCAGCTATGCTAACCGTTATACCACCGACGCTTCGGAAGAAACGGAAACACGCGTCCTATTCCAAACAAAATGCAATGCGTTTTGTAATAGAAAGAAGAATTTTCGGAAGGTTGTGTGTCGCCCTGGTATTTTCCGACGGGCCTCCGGATCCCGATAGAAGGGCAAAAATCGAAACTTGCGTCGGCCGGGGAGTCGAACCCGGGTCAGCTGCTTGGAAGGCAATATGCTAACAGATTATACCACCGACGCTTCGGAAGAAACGAAACACGCGTCTATTCAAACAAATGCAATGCGTTTTGTAATAAATTTTCGGAAGGATTGTGTGTCGCCCTAGTATTATTTCCCGACGGGCCTCGGATCCACGATAGAAGGAGGCAAAAATCGAAGCTTGCGTCGGCCGGGAGTCGAACCCGGGTCAACTGCTTGGAAGGCAGCTATGCTAACCGTTGTACCACCGACGCTTCGGAAGAAACGAAACACTTACGCGTCCTATTCAAACAAAAATGCAATGCGTTTTGTAATAGAAAAAATTTTCGGAAGGATTGTGTGTCCGCCCTAGTATTTCCGACAGACCTCGGATCCACGATAGAAGGAGGCAAAAATGGAGGAAGCTTTGCGTCCGGCCGGGGAGTCGAACCCGGGTCAACTGCGGAAGGCAGCTATGCTAACCGTTATACCACCGACGCTTCGGAAGAAACGAAACACGCGTCCCTATTCAAACAAAATGCAATGCGTTTTTGTAATAGAAAAATTTTCGGAAGGATTATTGTCGCCCTAGTATTTTTAAACGGAGCCTCGGATCCACGATAGAAGGAGGCAAAAATGGAAACTTTTACGTCGGCCGGGAGTCGAACCCGGGTCAGCTGCTGGAAGGCGCTATGCTAGCCGTTATACCACCGACGCTTCGGAAGAAACGAAAACACGCGTCCTATTCAAAACAAAATGCAATGCGTTTTTGTAATAGAAAAATTTTCGGAAGGTTATTGTGTCGCCTAGTATTTTCCCGACGAGGCTCGGATCCACGATAGAAGGAGGCAAAATCGAGAAGCTTGCGTCGGCCGAGTCGAGCCGGGTCAGCTGCTTGGAAGGCAGCATGCTAACCGTTATACCACCGACGCTTCGGAAGAAGCGAAAACACGCGTCCTATTCAAACAAAAATACAATGCGTTTTGTAATAAGGTTTTCGGAAGGATTGTGTGTCGCCTAGTATTTTCCCGACGGACGCCGGATCCCACGATGAGGCAAAATCGAAGCTTGCGTCGGCCGAGGAGTCGAACCCGGGTCAGCTTCCGCTGGAAGGCAGCTATGCTAACCGTTATACCACCGACGCTTCGGAAGAAACGAAACACGCGTCTATTCAAACAAAATGCAATGCGTTTTTGTAATAGAAAAAAATTTTCGGAAGGTTATTGATAGCCCGAAGTGCCCGAAGTGCCTTCTTTGCTTTTCCCCTGATTTTTCACTGATCAACGTTCTTCGTTCGATATATCTAAGAAAAGTTAGATCATTTAGGTGATAAAATTTTTAAAATTTTTCTAGTAAATTAAATGTTATATTGTTGTTATATTTTTTAAAAATTTATATTTTCGTTTTGGGAAAATTAAATGTTATTGAATGAAAAATAATCGAGATTTTAAAATTTTTCGTTCCTCACTAAATGTACTTTTATTTTCAGTTTCTAAAATGCTTAAATTTTTAGAGAAGGTAAAATCTGTATCTCTTTATATTGGTAACAAATTGATCTTTAAAAATAAATTTTTAACAAATTGATCTTTAAAAATAATCGCTGCTTTGCATTTTATCTGAATGTGTTCATATAGACTGGACAAAAGTTTCAATGAAAGTCACTGTGGCTCCTTTTATATCTTTTTATATCAGACTCACACCATAGTGAATTTTAAATAATAAATCTATCGGAATTCAACGCAAAATTCTCAATACAGTACAATTTCAAATGCGACTTTGATAATTTTTAAATGCAAAATATTTTTATGTGGAGGTTTTTAACTGTTCAAAATATGATGAACATTCAAAACTTTCCACTGTTTTCTAATGATCAAATTGAGCAACATGATGAAACTAATACTGAAAAAATGTTACCTCAGGTAGAGAAATGAAGAAGTAATGTAAAGCATCATTAGAAGAGGAGGAGCAGGAAATGGGGAACACTAGGGCCTCTTTTTTTTTTTATCGCGTGCCTCTCCTCCGGAAGGACGTTTCACAGATTAGTCACGCTTCGTGCCATCTCCCTTTTGAACAGAAAGAGGTTCCTGACCCACGTTGGTGGAAGCCCTCTTTCCAGGATAGGTGAATTCAAATTCAGTGATTAGGTTTACCTTGAGGTAATTTCTTCCCGTAGCTTTGTTGGGAAAAACATGAAGTAGAGATACCTCAAGAGAATGACAGATGTGTTCATATAATTTGCCTCGACATTTGTTTGAAGTGCAGTTCTTTAATAAAAATGGAATTTTATTTTCTTATGGCATAATTTGTAATGGTGTGAAGGTTAGAATTGCGCGGTTGGTTACGACATTAGAGGAAATTAGTATATATTTCGTTTTTATTTTATGTATCTTTTTACAAGATATATATATTCCCTTTATGCTATCGACTGCAGGTCTTATAAGTTTTATCACAGTCAAGTAACGATATTGACTCTAGAAAAAAAAACCTGTATTACAGCCGTGTTCAATAAATTATTGAAAATCATAATCTTGAATTAATTATTTTCTAGTGTCCTCATTCTGTAAATAAAAAACAGAAAGTTGTATTAAGAGAGCAATAATTAAAACTCGAAAAAACTTCATCAGAAATGCATCAAATTAGGTATTATTTAATACATGACAATATGTAACATGAAATGAGTTACCTTCTAATAATTCATGTTTTGATTTTTAAATTATAAAGTATAATTATTTTTCTAAATAAATACTAATTTTCTTCTTTAAAATAAATTGTCACAAAATAATAAGTATTTAGAAAATATAATTATTGCACATTTATTCTAAAAGTTATTTTTAAAATGATTCCAATACATATTTAATCCTTCACTTTCGCTCCTAAGATCTAACGCAAGGGTGAGCGGACTTTTCCAGTGTGTGGACTACTTCTGAGGTTTTTAGTGGTCCACCTAGTGGTGTAGGTGTAGCCATTCTGTATTAAAATTGCAAGTTTTATTTCTATATAATTGTTTTTGATATTGTATCCTTCTTTTAAGATATTACAGATAACTTTTTTCCGACAACAATACAAGTATAACAAAATTGTCTATTTGAATGCTTGAACAGCTATGAGTGACTGCTAGACCGTGGAGTGAGGGCGTATTTAATGAAGCTGGAAGATAATGTAAGTGAACCAATGAATCTGAAACCTACATATGCATTTATATTTGCTCGTTGCCGATTCCCGCACCATCACGAACCCAAACTCGAGGACCCAATCCCGTGGTGTGGAATGATGTCTCAATAGCCAGCCCCATGCTGTCGCGGGAAGAGCTAATCATCAACATTTATTCTCCCCTTCAGTCGGCGTGTGGGGAAAAATTTATTTCTATGACTGGCATCACAGTGTGATTGTTTTCTCCCTTAGAGTGGCAGTGAACATGTTAAACGTCAGTGTTTGCTTCCAATAAAGGTACATGTGTATGTCTACACATTCATTGAATCATTTACTTAAGCAAATACAATCACATCCATCGTGAAAGCCGATTCTGAAGTCTAGCTGACGTCGGTGTTCCATAAATATGCTTTTTTCAGTATGTGCATCTTAGGTCTTAGTAAAGGCGGTCACCTCAAAATGTCTTGGTGGTCCACCCGTCGATCGTGATCGGCTAAAACCCATCCCTGATCTAAGGTTTATTTTCTGCAGTTCATTACTCGAAATCATTCTAATTTCAAACAAAGTTAATAGAGAAATAGATCTTGAAAGTAAATAAAATATGTACTTTATGGTGTTTTAGATTATCTTCATAATACATTTCTTTAAAAAAAAATCATACATTTGCAAAATGCTTGATTTTAAAATGCATGTCTTATTTTAGAAATTAATTGAACTTACCGTATTAGCCCGAATGTAATGCGACGTCGAAATTTTGCATAAAGGTATTAAAAATGATTAATTTTATTATTTATTTAGTTTTATAAAAAATTTAAGAAAGTAAAATTCTATCAGATAAGTATTTATTTAATAATAATTAATAACACAGATTATATTCATGTTAATAAAATCAAGTAAGCAAAGCAAAATTAGTTATATAAGAGGAGTTGTTATATATATATACCGTAAAATCCGGCGTATAACGCGCACTTTGAATACAAAAAATGAGATCGAAATATAAGGGTGCGCGTTATACGCTGGGTATAAAAACGATAGCTTTAAAAAAAACAAAAGAGATGAACATAAAAAAAATTTTACTTTTACACATATAGAAATACTGTTTATTTAAATTAAATTATATACTTTATGAACTAAAAGAGTTCTGGTTCTAGAAATATATTATTATTTCAAAAATCTGGCATAAAATCTCGAATAAATGACTGCAAAACATAAGAAAGTTGTATACTAAAATTTCAGATTTCTTCTTAAAAAGCGGGGTGCGCGTTATACGGCGAACATACCTGAAAATTAAAAAATGCATCTTGAAAGTATGGGTGCGCGTTATACACCGGTGCGTGTTATAAGCCGGATTTTACGGTATATATATATATATATATATATAGTTTCAGTTTTCTAAAGGGAAATAATTAGTCAAAAAATATCTCGTTATGCGCGGTCTAATATGATAATTTCCAATCTTTAAAACTGTCTCGAATAAATGTAAAAGCATTTGCTTACTATTTTACAAATAATAATAGTGCTTAAGACACAGGCAGAACTTTAAAATCCTGAATTTTTTTAGTTCTCATATTCCCAATTAATAAAAAAGTTTATCAGGCCAAACTGTGCCCACTCGAGATAATTCGAGTGGGGATCGTATTTTATATTGTAGTTATTCTTCCACTCGATATAAACGATCGCTGTCTGCACTCGTGAGACTGATTGTGATCTGTCGTCGTGATTTTGAGTAAATTTAGATAAATGCCATTGTTTCATATATTTTACAATTTCTTATTAGGCATCAGCATTTGGAACGCACATGTTTTGTACAAAATAAATAAATAAATAATGGAGGTGAAAAAAAATTTTAATTTCAGAAGCAAAATAGAGAAGGAAGACTTTTCCCAAATATAAAAAACGTAAAAAGTGATACATATATAAAAAATTCGGTTAGACCAAAATGTTCTGAACTTTTAAGACTAACGGGGAACGTCATTTTCATTTGTGTGTTGTGTTTTCATTCATTGTGTTTTGTTCCATCAACACCAAAAACATGCTCCCACAAGATACTGCGCTGTGTGTGGCTCTAAAAGAGATAGCAAAGAAAAAATTTTTAAAAAAATAATAAATAAAGAGTCATTATATGTGTAATAATTGCAATGTTGGGCTGTGTGCTTCACTTTGCTTCCAAATATATCACACAAAAGAAAATTTTGAATAATTTTTTAAAATAAAACGAATTTTATTTTTTCTGTTGAAAAAGTATAAATAAATATTTCTACTGATAAACATATGTTTTTGTTGACAATTTTTCGAAAAGCAAGATAATAAAAGGCGATGTACACTCGAGATTGAAATATTTGGCTCTTATCTGCACAATGTGGATTAAAATCCAGAATTAAAATAAAAAAATTTTATTGATTTTTTCAAAATTTCTTGCCAAAACAAGGCTTTAAAATGTGTTTTCTTAAATAAATAAAAGGACTTTTCTGCTGGCTTTTTTTTTCTTTCAAAATTGTGTGCTTTAATGGGTTAAACAAATGAAGAATTGAAAAAAATGCAATGAGCAATTATTGCATTACAGGAACTTAAACGTTTTAACGATGCCCTTCATGGAAATTTACCTTTAGAGCTGCGAGATATTAATATTTAAAACGTTTTAAGGTATCCGACTACGTTCGGAACCGTGATTTTGAAAAAGCGTATAAATGGATAATATTTATGATATTTAGTATCACTTAGATTAGAAAATGTATATAAAATTGTTTTAAGAATAGTATTACAATAAAAAATTATTTACGTACAATATTTTGACGAAAAATGAATATAGAATGACCCATTTTCAAAATATTCTCCTTTTGTGAAAAATGCTTCTCTTATAACAATATTTTGCCTGTATATAGCTCAGACCTCTGTACAGAGTCTCAACTAGAATTTTTGAAATATATAACTTAGAAGTGGGTTTATCCATGTTTTACGACAACAGAGGAGAGAAATTTTAAGAAAAAAACGCCG